GAGGCCGGCGTCATCGTCGTCGTCGTCGGTGGCAGAGAGACTATCGTTTTCGTAATCGTCGACGCGCGGAGACATTGGATTGGGATTGTTAGGGTTTCTTGCAGCTTTCACGGAAATAGTGTGAGAGAGTGTTTGTGTTTGTGTTTGCGTTTGTGTCGAAGGTGACGGTGGTGATTGGTTTAAGTTGCCGCGTGTTTTTGTAACAACGGAGTGGGTCGAGACGACGGCGTTCTGTTCCCTTTCCTTCTTTCTCCTTTCGTTGCCGTTGGGCTGGGCCTTGGCCCGCTAGATATGTTGGGTGAAGTTTGGCTTCTCTTTTTGAGCTTTTGTGGTGTGTTTTTGTCAACCTTATGACAGTTTTTATGTTAACTAAGAACATTTTCGGGGCAATTTTCTATAAGTAACTCATTAGATTTTTTATTTTATTTTATATAGAATTTATTATGCTACATCGTTTTTAAGCAATTTATTATATTTTTTAAAGTTTTGTTATAATGATATCATTTGTAATAATTATGATGGGCGTAGATTCCAATGAAACTTAGTTTATGATTATCAAATAGGTAATACGTTTGTAATTTATTTCGTACCATAATTAAGTTTTATCACCTTGATTATCTTTATATAAAATGGGAAGTCATTCATTCGATAATACAAGTGATGGATAAATGAAGGCTTTAAATAGATACACCTTAGACTGATGAAGGTGCCTCAACATCCAAGGATGCCAAAGGAGCGCATTTTCAACTCATGAGTAGGGATGACAAATAAACTCATATTTGTGGATAAAACTTGAACTCGTCCCGACTTTAACAAGAATACCTGATTTGATCGAGTACATGTACGGTACGAGTAAAACTTAAAATATTAAACCGAGGACGAGGACAGGTATAAACTTACTCGCCCCGTCCCCGTCCTTGTTCCCATCCCCAGTTTAATACTCGTCCTCAATTTGATTATTTTAAAGAATTTAAATATTTAACTATGTGTTATTGTTTATTATGTTGTGAAACATTTGTGGTTGTTTAATTATTAAGAAGTCTCTTGATTAAAATAGAAGATAAACAAATAACCCAATTACAATTGTAATATAATGGAAAAATAAGCTAAAAATATTATGTTTGTTTTTTTGCAAAAAAAAATTGATGGGTACAGGTATACTCGATACCCAACAAGAACGGGGATGGGACGAAAATTACATGCCCAAAGGGTACAAAAACGGGGACGAGAATGAGTTTGAATCACAAGGATGAGGACGGGTATCATGAAACTCATACCTGAACTATCCCATTATCATGCCTACTCGTGAGGGTGTCTTGGCATTTGAGAATGTCGAACAAGCATATTTGGACTTGCAAAGGCGCCTCGACATCCAAGGATGTTGAATGAGAGACCCTAATCACCCTCAATTTTTTAGCAGTTGGAGCCAAGCATTAGGGCCTAATACTTTGCCTGGTTATAGTCGAACCAAAACGCTTACTATCATTGGGCCCCTCCAAGATGATCCATTATCCATTGTGCTTATGGTTTAAGGATTCATCTATGTGAAAGGTCCAACATTTCGCTATAAAGAATCCCTTATGGTGCAATTCATTAACAAAATTAATTAAACATTGAGCCTTTTATCAACCCTTTTGGTTCAAAACGAATACCCTTTTGGTTCAAAACGAATGTCAATCTTGAAAAACTTCACTAAACAAGCCATTATTTGTCTTGCCAACTTGAGTTTTCCTAATACTTTTTGAGATGGAATAGTTAGTTCGAGCGACAATTTGTTGCCCTTGAAAGTATTGACACAATCATCATGTCGTGTGCACTAAACTCAAAGCCACTTTCTTGAGGAACTGATACCAATTTTCATCGGCCTATATGTGATTGACAGAATAAATGGGAGTTTGTGTGTCTGGTTATTCTTGAAACAAAATAGTACTTATGGTTGTTTCTTAAACCAACATGTAAATGAAAATAAGTTGTTTGGGTTTTGGTTTTAATTAGACGCGAGGTGTGGCCAATGACTCCTTAAGTGCCCTAAACGCAATCTTGCAGTTTTTATTCAAATGAAAGGATTTTGCATTTTTTTTAGTAGATTCAGGATGAACCTATTCTCTTGGCCAACCTAGGTAAAAAATTGGTCAAGGAAATCAATTGCCTAACGAGATGTTGTACCTTCTTCACAATATTTGAACTTCACATTTCTAACATTGGCTAACACTTATCAAGGTTGGCTTTAATCTTTTTGGAAGTTATCATAAAGCCCAAAAAATTGCCACCTTGGACGTTAAAGGCGCATTTTTTAGGATTCAACCACATATCATGCTTTTGGAGTTAGAGAAAAATCTCTTAAAGGTCCTTAAGGTGATTGATGACATTACTTAACTTAATGACCATGTCTTTGAGATAAACTTATAGGATTCAACCAATTTTGGTTCTTAAATACCTTGTCCATGAGGCATTGGTAAGTTGCTCTAGTATTTTTAAAACCAAACGATATGACCAAATAACAAAAGTTGGTCAATTTTGTTATGAAAGCGGTTTCCTCCTTATCTTTCGGGTACATCCTTATTGTAGCTTGAATAGGCGTCTAAGAAGCTAAAGACTTGGTGTTCGACAACTTTGTGTAGTCAATCAATGCTAGGAAAAGGGTAGGCATTTTTTAGACATGCTTTGTCGAGGTCTGTGTAATTTATGCACATCCTCCACTTTCTATTGGATTTTCTTACCATGACCACAATGGCTAACCAAGTGGTCTAAGTGACCTCTAAGATAAACTTGAAGACCAAGAGCTTGTTTATCCCTCTACCTCAAACACCTTTTTTTTTCTTCTCTCATCTTCCTCTTCTTACGAGCAATCGACATTGTTTCCCTAGATACATATAGCTAATGACAATGGAACCTCGTGTCAATCTCATGCATGCCAACATTTGACCAAGCGAATAGATCTTGATTTTCCTTAATGTTATATTGTTGGCAACTACAGTAAAAAAAACACAATTGCAACCTTAAGTAACTGACTTGTGCTTTATTATTGCCCAATTGTATGGGTAAGGTTTCTTCGTTTGGTTTGACCCTTTCCTCCTCGTTAACATAGGGGTCGAGCTCTAGTATTTTATGTGCCAACAATTTAACCATGTTGAAGTCTGCCACTTTTCTTTCAATGATCTTACCTTCAAACTTGCCATGTAACACCACCTAACAATCTTTTAGTCCATATGGATGGTGATAACCTTTCATGAATGAGAGGAAAACTTCATAGCTAAATGGGGTGTGGAGACAATGGCCCTTAGTGCGTTGATCAATGGCCATCCCAATAATATGTTGTATGACGCGTTAGCATGCACCATTGTGTACATGACTTTGATGGTTCGGGATTGAGTCTAGTCATACCAAAAATGAGCGTTGTCGTCTATGCACCCTCGACTTGTGACCCTTTTCCCTAAGAATCCTACCAGTGGTTCATTTTCTATTTGCTTAAAGGTATTAGAGTAAAGAATACCAGTTGAGTTGCCTTGGTCAATACGAATTTTTATAATAATACAAATTTCAATCTTTACGTTGATCACCCTCCAAAGCAATTGTCACAAAAGGAAGAGGAACGATCATTTCCATGAAAAGGAAAAAAAAAACTAAAGCAATAAATTGTACATGATGTTCCTCAGATAACCTTGTCCATTCCTTTTATCGCGTGTAGTCATAACTTTCTTGATTCGAAGGTTGATGCCAAAAATATTGTGAAGTAAGACTTCGTGTCTGCCTAAGCCAAAGATTATCTTGATCAAGTTGTCTTGCTCTACATCCAACCCTTGGAAATCTTGGTTGATGAACATGATTGTTGTCATCTTAACAACCTTTTAATTTTTACCATGTGTATGGTTCTAACAACTTGTAGATGTCTTCTTTTGCCCAATGATGTAGCACTCGCACCTGTGAACCCCATCGACTATAGTGTTTATAACTTTTCTTGACTAATCTTGAGCGTTGATCTAGGTGTCATCTCTCTTTTCTCTATAGAAACTTTGATCACATTCTCTTTAATCACCATTACACCTTTGTTCTCCTTCTTGACAATGCGTTTGAGCATGACTACGAGAAAGTTATTGGTGACAAATGTGTAGCTCTCGAGGTGTCCTTGCTTAATGAGATCCTCAATTTTGTCTTTTTCAACATGATACATTCCTCAATCAAATGTCCTTGGTTCTTAAGTATTAATATGCTTTGGAGGAATCAATTTAAGAGGGTGTGTTAGCATGCTTTGGCATTGTCAAATCTTACAAGGTGAGTGTATGCTTTAACACTTTAATTCTACTTATGTTAAAAGGAGTATAACTTGCGTATCTCATGCCTATAAAGGGGCAGTAGTTGCTAACCTCAAATTCGATGGAAAAAAATATTATATATATGTGTGTATACACACACATACACATATATATACATATATATATACACGCACATATATTAGAGGATTAATTTGAATCATTTAAAAATACGGGGACTAAAATGAATTTAAAAAAAGTGACTAAAAGTATAATTTAATCTATTTATTATCACAAAACCCACTTATACCAAATAATTTCCAAAATTTTCAAAAAATGTATCTACCCTATACTCTTGATTTAATAGATGAATCGTTGAAATTCAATATACACCATTAGTTATTTAGTAAAATAATTATAACTAGAGTTACTAGCACCCCTAAAAAAAACAATGGTTGAAATTAAAACTCAATTATAAACCTTTCATCTATGAGATCATTAAGATTACCACTATCCATTACTATTGCCACCATCGTCATTAGCCAACACAACTGACATTGCCACCTTCATTGTTGTTAAAAATGACAACAGGGCAGGATGAAAGCGGGTGGTAGTTAGGGATGGCAACGGGGAGGGTCGGGTACGGGTTTCATGATACTCGTCCCCGTCCCCGCGAGTTAAACTCATCCCCGTCCCCGTCCCCATACCCGTCGAGTATAAATTTTCATCCTCATCCCCTTCCCCGTCGGGTATCGGGTATACCCGTACCCGTCAATTTTTTTATTTTTTATTTTTTGTAAAAAAAAATGATATTTTTAAATTATTTTTTATTATATTATAATTATAATTAGGTTATTTCTTTATATCATATTATAATAAATAATCACACATAAAAAAATATTGCCACCTTCATTGTTGTTAGAGATGACAACAGGGCAGGATGAAAGCGGGTAGTAGCTCATTGTCACATGTCCCAAATCCATGAATTTTTTATATATCTACAAGTATTTATGGGTATCCGTGGATATTTAAAAAAATATAATTTTTAAAATTAAAAGGTGAAAAATAAAATAAAACTAAAACTAAATAATTTTAAAACATATATTTATATTAAAATAATTTTGTAACATATATTAACACTAAAATAAATAATTATGTCACATGTATTTTGTAAAAAAAGAAACTAAACTAAACTACTTTATATATAAATAAAAATCTTTCTAATATTTTTAAATTGTGTGTACAAGTAGGTACGAGTGCTTTATTATTCATCATCACTCCATTACTAAGCGGGTATCCATTTAATTAAAGTCCATAGTGTGTTTTATCTATGAATACGAATATTTTTGTCATGATTAATTATCACCATGTGGATAGTAATAGTGTTAATAGTGATGATTGTAGCAATGAGAGTGAGTAATGGTGACAATATTAATAATATCATACAAGAGTGTTTATAGTTGGGTTTTAATCTCATTTATTAATCAATTTTAGGCTTAACTATGGGCTAAATTATACTTTTTGCCCTTTATCTTGTTTTTTAGATTCATTTTAGGCATTTAGTTATTAGAATGTTCAATTTGATCCTTTATTTTTTATATTTGGATCAATTTATCCCCTTTAAAACAATACTTTTTTTTTTAAAATTTTGTGACACAATTTTGATCATTTATTTTTTTTATTAATTCGAGACGTAAGACTTGTAACAATATATTTAACTATATAAAATTACAACATTCAATTAACATTTGAATCCATAAGTATTATAAATATAATGAAAATAATGCAAAAAATATGTCTCATGAACAACTAGAAAATAATATGAAATTATAATTTTTGAATTTTCAATTGCCATTTGGACTTATTTTTACAAAATTTTCACCATGTTTATAATATTTTTATTTATTTAAATTTCAGTTGCATTTAATAGTTTTCATATAAGTGAATTTAATGAAACAAATTTCAAGTCTTGAATCACTCAAAACAAATATAAAATTATGTCTCAAGTTCAAAAATAATTATTTTTAAAATGATCAAATTGGTCTAAATTTAAGAGATAAAAGACTAAAATGAATATTTTAAAATACAAGAGACCAAAATAAATTTAACAAATAAGATAAATGACCACAAATATGATTTAATCCTTAAATATGTTTATAGTCCTTATAAAATTAACTAGTTTTGATTTTGGTCACCGTATTTTTATTTTTATTTATTATTTTTACTTTTCATCCTTCTAAAATTGGAATTATAGTTGTTAGTCATTTTTTATGTAATCATTTTTAATTATTTTTTATTTATTAATAATTTAAGTGATAATCATAGATGTTATTCATGATTATTAGTGATATCATGTTGGTGAATGACATCTCTTAAAATCTGTATAGATCCTTAAAATAATTGTTATCTATCTACTTTAAAATGACAATTAAAGATAAAAAAATAAAAAAATAAATTTTAGAAGGATAAAAATTAAAGAAAATTATTTTATGAAGATCAAAATATTTTTTTTTTCATTTATCACGTAGCCAAAATTATGTTTATAATTTTAAAAGAATGAAAAATAAATAAATAATGTTAGAAACCAAAATCAAAATCCTTTCTATAAACTTAAAATATATTTAAACCTTGTTTTCATTAGTAATTTAAACTTTATATAAAATAACACATATTCTTATTGTATACTTATAAAATATGTAGTTGCATATTACAAAAATGGTTAAAATGAAAATTGAATATAGATTTTCATAAGTCTAACTATCTCAATACTTCTTTATCCAACTACTAAACTAACCCTAATGTTTAATATAGTTGCATATATAAATAATATATAACAAATTATAAAAAAGCATTTATTTATTTTTTTCAGTTGCAGATGATACGTGAGATTGAGAATCTATAATATCAAGTTATCAAAAGGAAAAAAAATACAAACCTGTACTGATATATTTTGAATTTTTTTAAAAGGTTTAAATTTTTATTAGGATTTGGATTTTGAATTAATTAATCAAACAGTAATTGATTAAAACAAAAAGAGCGCCAAGAAAGTCTTTCACGATTTAAACTCTTCTCCGGTAAAATATTTTCACTGAATTGTGGTAATAATAATAATAATAATAAATTAATAATAACCCTCTCTCCCAACAACCAATCACTATCCAACACGTAACCGCTTCCACCACTGAACACTCATCATTGGTCTGTACACAACCTTCCGTCACCGACATGTAACACAATTATCAGAGTGTTCCGCCTAACCTTGTTATTTTTTTCGCCACTTGACCTTCTTCCCGCCATTTTCTGTATCGCTAATTATATACAAAAATCCCGAACCCAATTAAAGGAAAAAACGAAGAAAAATCGGAAAAACCCAAAACCCAGAACGAAACAGAAAACCTAGGACATTGCAAATGGGCATCAAGGATCTTCTGAGGTTCATGAAACCTTACATTGAACCCGTTCACATTAAGAAGTACGCTGGAAAACGCGTAAGAACCAACCCCATTGTTCCAAGTTTCGATTTTTTCGCAAGATTTTATCTGGGGTGTGATTGTTTTCACTCACTTTGCAAAATCTGCAGGTGGGTATTGACGCGTATTCGTGGCTTCATAAAGGGGGTGAGTACTGGGTAGTGAACTGTGTGAGTGGTTTTTTTTTTTTTTTTTTTCTTCTTCCAGTTTTGGGGTAACTAATGGTTGAAGTTGTCATTTTGATTTTTCAGCTTATTCATGTAGTATGGAGCTTTGTCTTGATTCCGATAGTGAAAGGAAGTTGCGGTACATTGAATACTTTATGCATCGAGTGAACTTGCTTCGCTTCTATAGAATAACCCCGGTTGTTGTTTTTGATGGTGGCAATGTTCCTTGCAAGGCAGCAACTGAGGAAGAGAGGAACAGGTATGTTTTGTTTTTGTTTTTTCAAAGTCTTAGGTTTTGAATCAATTTTTTTTTTTTATCTGTTGTTTCTTCTAATATGTGTATGTTTTCATTGTTTTAGAAAAAGAAGGGCTAATCGTGAGTTGGCAATGGCGAAGCTTAAAGAAGGGAATGTTGGTGCGGCTTCAGAGCTTTTCCAGGTAGGAGCATTTTTTATTTTTTTTAAAGATTAAATAGTCAACGCACCTGGAGCATTTATACACTGTCATTTAATTATAAAATGCTGCTTATGTAAAGTTTGTTGATCGACTTTTACTATAATTCCTTGATTTCTGATCGGTTTACAAGTATTAAAAATATTTAGTCGGACGGTGCATAAAAATTAAACTCTAAATCATCAAAGATCCTTTTGAAGGGTATTGCGGATTACTACAAGAATTGTCTTTAACATATTACTGCATGCTGGCTTAATTAGATGAATGCTGAGTTTTAATAATAGAGTTGCATGAATTGTTGAAAGTGGACAAATGAAAAATTAAGCAATGTGCAATGCTAGCAATTTATCTGATTGTTTCATCATTATGATAACAAAAGGTTTATGTCCTTCATTTTCCCATACGCTTGTGTTTACGCCAATGAGGCAAAACAATTGAAGGATTTTCCTCTCTTTTGTGCGCAGAGAGCAGTGAATATTACTCCCCTTATGGCACATAAGCTAATTCAGGTATGCTCCTATAACCATATCCTGTTGTACAAACTTGTGAGTTATGACTGGTAGTACTGAGAATACGCCCTTTCCCCTTGTTACAAAATTTGAGCAATACTATTGCTATCTTGAATAGTGATCCTCAGAGTCTGTTTTGGTGAACCTTTTTAGAAATATTACTAGGAAAGAAAAAAATGAAAAAAAAAATGAAATAAATTTCTCTATAAATTAAAATTACCTCTAGTATTAGTTAATTTGTAGAAGTTATTTTCTAATACCTTCTTTAAAATCCTATTTTTAATTTATACATAAGCTAAGTTTATTTTATGGAAGAGCTTATTTTAATTTTTATTCCTATTTTTCTTAATTAAAAGTGCTTTTGGAGAGTTTATCTAAACAGGCCACACTCTGGTGTAATTCCATCATCTAATTAATTGCCTTGCAGACCCTGAAATCAGAGAATATTGAGTTTGTCGTAGCTCCATATGAAGCAGATGCTCAGTTAGCGTACATGGCTCATCTTGGAGTAGAAAATGGCGGAGTTGCAGCAGTGATCACAGAAGATAGTGATCTGATAGCATATGGCTGTCCAGCTGTAAGAACTTCTCCAATACTATGATCTTGTGCGTGGAGGTTTACTGCTTTTCTGATATTTTGGTTTGTTTACTGTTTCATTATTCCGTTTCATAGAACTCCTGTGTTTTGGATTGAAATTCAGTGGTTTTGGACAGATTATTTTTAAGATGGACCGTCATGGGAACGGTGAAAGAATAGAGTTAGAGAAGGTTTTTTCTGCTGAGTCTGGTAGACCTTCATTTCGGAGTTTCAATATGGAACTCTTGACAGGTACACTTTGTTGCTTGTAGAATTCAATAGTGTGTGCTCTTATGCACGTATTCATATGAAATAACCTATGATGAATGTGTGTGGATGTGCCTTCATCTAATTGCAACCTGTCTCTAAAGCTCTTGTACATGAATGTCTTATCATCCAGGAAAAAAGAAAATAAACTAGGAACTTACCTTAAAGGCCATTTTCTGAATCTGTGTGCTTTGACCTGCTGGATACATTAACCTGAGTTGACTAGTAATTTTGGAAAAAATTGTTGTTTATGTCAAGAAAAGAAATCTCATACTTCTAGGTTTATGACAGGCTAAAAAATGCCCTTTGTTTCCCCTCTCCAGGTATGTGTGTCTTAGCTGGCTGTGATTTTCTTCCATCTGTTCCTGGAATTGGTATTGTTCGAGCTCATGCTTTAGTTTCTAAGTATCGGAACCTAGACCGTGTAAGTATGTTCTCATCTGCTAAAAAGAATTACGGTTTATTTGTTGAATGGAATTTGAACAGAAATTTAGAGAGAAAGCATTTCGAGAATTTCAGAAGCGCTCCTGTCCCCTAATATTACCGGCGTGATATGATCATGAGGATTTCTCAATTGAATTGCTCAATGAAATGTGTTCACTATAGGATATATCCTTTCTCTTCATGCTAAGAATCCGAATTTCAAAAATTTACCATGAATTCATCATTAAGCCAAAGAGATTACAGGACCATCATTTCTTATATTATGATGATGCATATAAAAACCCAGATTGCTGAATTAAGGATCATATTCAGTTTCATTTAGACTAATATATCAGTACTTTAACAGGTCTTGTCTGTTCTTAAGCTTGAGAAAGGCAATCAAATGCCAGAAGATTATGCCAAATCCTTTCAAGAGGCAGTTGCGGTGTTTCAGCATGCTCGAATGTGCCAATACTAAAACTCTTCTTAATTTTAGAGTGTTTTGTTAATTTTCAGCAATGACTATATTTGCTTCTGGAATATCTATGTAGATATGATACCAACGCCAGAGAGCTCAAGCACATGAAGCCTCTTCCCCAAAATTTTCCCGAGTCACTTGATGGAAAACTTGATTTCTTGGGACCGTATCCTTTATCCTGTCTTCATTTTCATGACTGATACATTTCCTGAAATGTTCCATTTTTTAATATTCTCAACTTGTCCCTTCAGCATTTTTTCTTGCCTGTTACTGGTATTGCTGTCAGACATCATTTTGGAAGTTACTTGGATTATTTAGCTAGGAATTCTGAATGTAGACCGTACTATATAGCTTTTTAGCACTTCTAGGAGAATATGTGGTCTATTTAAACATTTATGCTTGTTGAAAATGCATAAAATTTTCCTTAACCAAGTCCAATTGCAATTAGAGAAATTCCTTCATCTATAGTCACAGCAATAGCTGAAGGAAACTTGAATCCATCAACTAAGGAAGCCTTTGATAAGTCCGAATGTTCTAGATTTCCTCTACGCTCCATTGATCTCCAAAGTATTGGTCAAGTCCAGAAAGCTGAAATTCCTGCACCATCTAGACAGGAGAGTAGCTTTTCAATCATTGCCTCTCATTACACCAGAGAAATCAGTACAGGCGAGTGATATAATTTGGAAATGTTTTAAATTTTTTGTAAGTACATTGCTAAGTTTATGCATATTATTGCTAGCACGGTTTATATTTTTAATCATTAGAATGCGATGTACACTTTCTTTCTCTACAGTGACAAAGCTCTCGGATAAAGATAAGTATGCTGATGAAGCATTGTCACTTCAGAAACTACTCATACCAATGCCATTGGGAAAAAATGGAACAGAAGAAAAGACCATAATATCTTATGACACTCCTTCGGAGGTTTATGACAACAATCCATTCATGATAAGAAAAAAGGAGGAAACATATCAGACCAAGGACACTTTTGGAAAAGTTTCTGTTGCCAGCAGCATGGAAAATGCTGACTTATGCATGTCTCCAGTTATCTTTCAAGGAGAGGGGTCTGAGAATCTCTCAAGGAAAAGGAAATTTCAGAACATTGGCTCAGATAAAGTTGAAGTCACCGATGAACTGGTTTCAGGAGTGACTGAAATAGAAAAGTCTGATATTCTATGTATGACTATGGAATCCCCAGAAAGTATAAATTCTGAGACTAAGAAAATTGCTGAGTTGAAGGGAAAAAGTGAAAGTAAAATGAAATCCAAGAGAAGCAACAGCAAGAAAACGGAGCGTAACAACAGAACTCTTTTGAATTTCTTTTCTAGAGTGTAATTCTATTCAATATTTACATGCCCATATTTTTTGTTGCGGCAATTTTGAGTTTAATTTTGATACGACGTTAATTAATTCAAAATTATTTAGGACAAAATGTGTCTTTCGAAAATATTTTTTTTTAAGTTTTGTTTTTCTTTCTCAAAATTGTCGTTTTGATCGTCTTAATTTTGAAATGTACTATTTTTGGTTTTTAAAATGATTCAGATGACGTTTTTTCAACTGTTTTTAAGTGTTACGTATATCACTTTTAAGATCAAAAGTGATTTATTTTAAATTAAAAGGATTAAAAGAATCCAAAATATTTGAAAGACTAAAATAAATAAAAAAATTTATAGTGACTAAATGTATTTTACTCAATTAATTTAGGTGGTTTTTTTAGGTTTATTATCATTACGATTCTTTTCAAGCAAATACTATTATTAATTGCATTGTACTCTGCTTGTTTATTGGTGTTCGTATTTAGTAGAATGGATTTTGTAAGGAGTGAGATTTTGATTTCTGGTGAATAGAATTGTTTTCAGGTGAGATTCGTAAGATATTTAAAAGCATTTTCATATTGATGTTCATAATAATTTTACTTAAAAACTTATTTAACATCCAGTTTTAAAACATTCATAATCACAGATACATTTTTTTCTTAAAATTATTTCTCTCATGATAATGTTTTCCGTCACCAATTGTTTCAGCCACCTCACTGATCCAGGTTATCAACTGAATACTGCCTAGTATGGATAGACACCACACGAACAGAATTAAAAGATTATCAAGTTTAACTTTCATCTATTTTCCTTACCCAAAATAAAATCTAGTGTGATTTTTCAGTGGAGGCTTATTTATTTATTTATTTATTTATTATTATTATTTTTAATTTCTAATCACCACATCCAGGCATATTTTAAAGAAAAAAGAATATGAAAAAGCAAAACGTTGAACAATATGATGCTATGAGAAAAAGTAAGTTACTGCCGTAAAAGATCATTTTATTCTAAGACTTGCTTTACTCAAGTCACGTGATTACAATTTCAGAAGCACTTCAAACTCAACTAACCAAAACCAATAAAACATGATTCTGTGAAGTAACTAATGCTTCTTTTTGGCAATGAGCTGCCTGAACCAGTATGCAGACATCTTGGGGTATCTCTTGAGGGTTTTGAAATCAACATAGACAATGCCAAACCTTGATGTGTATCCCAACCTCCATTCAAAGTTATCTAGCAATGACCATGCAAAGTATCCAACCACATTTGCTCCATCATCAGCTGCCTTCTTCAGTTGAGTCAAATACCCTTTGTAATAGTTTATTCTTGTGGTGTCATGCAAACCCTTGGGAAGAGTCACACTACCCGGATCATCCATACCTACATGTCATCAAATACATCACATGACATTGAAAAAACACAATACTAATGTCACCAAGCTAACAAATTAATTAGGGTCTATTTGGATACAAATTTTAAAATATTTTAATTTATATATAAACAGGATCTTGATATATAGTGTTACCATTTTCGGATAAGATCACAGTTGGGTTTCCATAACGTTCCTTTATGTACATCAATGATTTGTACATGCCCCATGGAACGTTGTAAAGCCAATAAGAATAAGCCTGAAAATTTTCAAATTATGAATAAGTCAATGCATGGTTAGTTCACTTGTATCTATCTAATGAATATCTGTCACTAAATTCAAACTTACTTTTGGACCAATAGGCACTCCATTCTTGGAATCTTCAATGTTCATATAAACCAAAAAAAGAAAAGTTAGCTATGGAAATGCACAGAAATTTTTTTAATCAATGGTTAAAGGAAGCATTGTCTTACAAGCAAACCCTGCATTCCAATCCTCTTGATAGCCTGGGACTTTAGGTTTTGATTGATGAGGATCATACATGTAGTAAGTAGTATATTGGTTGATTCCAACAAAATCAATTGAACCCTTCACGATTTTAACTTCTTCCTTGGTGAACTTGGGGAGTCTTTTCCCAACAATTTCTTCAATCGTTCTTGGATACTCTCCATAAACAAGGGGATGAATGAACCTGGTGAAACACTATTTGTCATTATGTCTGTGAAGGTCTCACAGAGGAAAATTCACATTCATAACTAAATACTTGAAAATGCCATATAGGACCACAGTAAACAAATGCTAAAGATTTTTACCATCCAATATGGAAGTCTCTGGCTCTTTGAGCTGCATAATTGTCAGCCTTTGATCTCGTAAGAGGCTCATACCAAACAAAATCCAACAGGATCCCAATCCTTCCCTTTTGCTTTTCCTAAAACAAACATATTCATCACCACATAAGAACATTCTAGCTTGTTAAATGAGTCCATTAAACAAAGGAGTAATTCACCAATTTGATCTGAAGTATTACTCTCTTTCCTAAATGGTCCTTAAGTAAGAAAAACAACTCAAGTAGTCAGAATAATTAAAAATCATGCCAAGTAGTCCCTAAAATATTGACTTTTTCTTCTTCGAATTAGTCCCTCAACTTTACTAAAATACATCAACCTAGAGACTAAATTGCTGGACATTCAATATTTCAGGGATCACTTACACAATTTTAGTACTCTAAAGACTATTATTTAACAGAGAGCGTAATAATTTGAGGACGAAATTGGTGATTAATTCTTAAACAAAAAGACTTGATATGCTAATATTACTTGGTATTTCTCTCTGTATCTTTGAACAGCAGCTGCATGTGACAATATCAAATTGTGGGCAACAATGTAAGGCTCAGTGCCTGAGTTACCAGCTGAACAATTCCCATAAGCTTTTGAGCACCTTCCAGGGGCAAAAAAACCATTGTCATAACCAAGAGCAGCCACCACACGAGGCTCGTTAAAGGTCATCCAATTCTTAACTCTATCTCCAAATGTCTTGAAACAAAATTCTGCATAGTCTGCAAAATCTTTCCTGGGCAATTTAAGCATTCATGTTAGTTATACATAATTAATTGCATCATAAGCATGTTAACATATACTTTTTTTTTTTTTAATTTTAATTTTAATTTTTTTTTTATCAAACTCACTTCAAAGTTCAAACATTAATCTATGAGAAAACATGTACCTAGAAGATTAACAATCTAATTTTGTTCTTGTAAATATATTGGTACTTACACAACTTGGCGATTCAATAATCCGGTGTACCTCTCCTCAAGTGCTAAAGGAAGATCATAGTGGTAGAGATTTGCATATGGAGTAATACCTGCAACAGTTTCAAACAATCAATGAGGAGCTATAAGTCTATAATTGCGACTACATTTCAAACATTATGTATGCTACGATGAAAGTTACCTCTTTTTAGTAGGTAATTGATCAACCTATTGTAGTATGCTACACCTTTCCAATTTACTTTGCCAGTTCCATCTACAGTAGAGGTGAATATCAGTTACTAATTAAGGGAGTTTAACAATTTGATTCAGTTAATATAACCAAATATGGAAAACAAATATTGTTGAATTACTTGGAAAAATTCTGGACCACGAGATTGAGAACCGGTAGGCATCAAAATTCAGCTTGGCCATGATGTCTATATCTTCCTGTCAAATTAAACATATATATTTTAGCTCAATTGTTCCTTCTAGCAGAGAAGAAAAGCCAGAATTCACTCAGCAAAACTATATAAACATTTAAACTATACATCAAAAGTGTAAAATAGTTTTACATTGTCACCTAATCATAAAATATTAATAGAATATTAATACGGTGAGTTTGTTGACTTTTATAATAGTATCTTAAACATTTACAATATTCATTAAGAAAAAAAAAACTATACATCAAAAGTGTAAAATAGTTTTACATTGTCACCTAATCATAAAATATTATATACGGTGAGTTTGTTGACTTTCATAATAGTATCTTAAAAATCATATTAATAGTAATTTTTTATTTGTTGATAGCATGAAAGTTGTTTTTACATGGTGTATAATCATTAAATTCATTCATTAAAATGTAAAATTTTAAGGTGCATGTAAGTAGTTTTTGTGGGGACAAAAGTAGCCCATATAGTTCTGAGAAAAACGAGTGATCGGTAAGAAGTGATAATTTGACAATGTTTAAGGCTGTAAGGTACGAGATATTTTTCCACAGATGGGGTCCAATTGAAAATGGACAATATACTAGCTTTTGGATCTATTGAATTTGATGAATGTAATACACGAATTTGAGATACATTGGGAATGTGATCATTCAAATATAGTTAGATACATTTTACTAGAGTTTTTGGTATGCAGTTCAACTTGGAAAGAGATCAGTATGTTAAAAATCGCTAAAGGGAGAATATTAAAAAATAAATAAATAAAATCAAAGCCACTTACTTTGTAGCGATGGTACTGATCAACTGAAACTTCCCCCGTGCCATTATTTGCCACGATGCCTGTTTTGTATTGAAACAAACAATATTTCATATTAAAATGAAAATCCATTTTCTAATTGTGAAGATAGTATATGTACTGATAGTAAAATATATTTATACTGTTAACTAAATAAAAATTGTCATATTTGGTAATTTAATCATTTAATTTCATAATATTCTCTTCTTCCATAATATATGGATAAGAAAGTAACATAAAATTATTATAGAAATGGAAAAAATTCAATAATTGAATAATCTGTTTTAGTATAAAGAAGGATTTGTCGTGAATTCGGTCGCATTCGCATTCGCATCTTGCTTTTCACCAGAAAAGCCGTAAATAAGATGTGAACGCTCCAACACGACTCAGCAATGCATGCGTGAGATTAGCGTCTTTTCTCACAACACAGGACAACGCACCCAACCAATTCCAAAAAAATCTGTTTTATTTGTATACCTTATCAATGTAAGCAATTTTATTCTATCAACTAAATAAAAATTTATGATTAATATAGCCTTTAAAATACCAAATTAATAAATTTATTATATATAGCAAATTATAATTATATGACAAGTAATGTGAATTAACACAAAATTGTTCTAGGAGTCATTTCCAAATGAGAGTTATCTTTTTCAAACCCTTTTTATTATCAACCAAAAATTATTAAAAATCACAAATTTTTATCAATTTTGCATATCAATTAACATTTTTTTTTTAATTTAGTGATAAAAAGTATCAAAACTTAAGATTTTTAACAACTGATAAAAAGTAATAGTAAGAGAACGCTAAATACGAACTATAAATGTTAACATATTTTCTTTAACACTCTTTTTATTATTCAATTCATTTATAAAAATAAAAAAATCATAAATTTTATGAAACTTGCATTTGGGTCTCTCCTGATTTATTTATTGAAAATCAAAGTTTGCAAAAACATTTATAAACTTTTTTTTTCTTTGCCCAAAACCATGGTACAGGCTTTTCCAAGACGAAAAATCAAAATCTTCATCAGTCACGAAACGAAATGCATTATTTATTTATTATATCATAGGAATGAAGAATGGATTTGTTTGAAACCCGACCAAGTACTCTCAATAAAACTTTTTTTTTATCACAATTTTTGTCCATCATAGAAATTCGTGCCGAATGTTACCGATCAACAACGTATCTCCGATACATCATTTTAAGGATCGAAGATCAGTGAAGAACAAAGAAAATAAAAAAAAAATTTTAAAAAAAAAGAGAATTGATGAGAATATTGACGAACCGGGTTTTTTGATGAAAGCGTCCCAAATGCTTGGGCCGCGACCGTCCTTGTCGGCCATACCCTCCACCTGGTACGCCGACGTGGCGGTTCCAAAAATGAAGCCTTTCGGAAAGGCCTCTCTACTCAAGCCTCCGGTGTTGAAACGCACCGTTTGAGGCTCATCTGCAGCCGCGGCGCACCGGATGACTGCCCCTCCGGCCACCAACAAGGAAAAGACCAAACACAAACGTTGGAGTGGAGAAAGAAACAGCATGTCCATGTTGGAGCTCTCAAACTGTGTGTGTGTGTGCTGTGAAGAGATAATGTGTCACTCTTCGCCTCACTCACCTCCTTTTATAGCCCACGTTTGTGGACATTATCATAAAAAAAATTAATTTAAATGCCTCTTTTGCAATATTTCGAAATCAATAGGCTGCAATTAAAGCTATTCAATTCTTCTATATATATAGATACGTTAGATATCTGTTTAAGAGTTTTGTTATTCATGCGTTTTATCGGATAAGAATCAAGTTGAACCTCATAAGAGATACTGCCTATGATTTTCACTTAAATCGATAAAAAGGGATAGAATTTGTTTTAGTGAATCTTTCCATGTGCTGCTGTTAATTTGTTCCAAGTTTCTAGTTTCCACTTTTCAAGCATGCCAAAAGTGAAAATGTGAAATGGGATCATTTGTGTACTATTCTTCTGTTCATTCATTGTTATTCTATGCTCTTAATAAATTTAGTAGATTTTTTTTTTTGGTACGTGCGACAAAAAAGGCAACAAAAAACTAACTTTCCCTGATATGTTTTATATATTTAATAAATGTATTTTTTTAATTTTATGCTTTAAAGTATATTTTATTAATATTTTAAAATTATTACTATCTTTATTTTATAAGAATAGAAAAAGTTGTTTATATATTGTTTGTAAATTAATGTATTAAATATGTCGATAATAATTGTATTTAGTACATTCAACCTTTGATAAGAAAGATACTATTATAAGATCGGTAAAATTGGTATATATATATATATAGTAAATATGTATTAATTTTTATATCGTAATATGTAATACTAATTTTATGTTTCATTTTTTAATATCTCATTCTATAATAATGAAATATTATTTTGTTGTTGAATCTCGTAAACTTATTGAAAAAGATGAATATTAATAATAATTTCAAAAAGAATAATTACATAAAAAAGTAAAACATATTTAATTAAATGAGAGACTATAGGCATATAGTATAACATTTACGATGACCATTTTATCATTTCATTGTACCAAATTTAATTTTTTAAATTTATTAAATAATGTTAGATTTGAAGTATTCAATTGCTTAGAAATATTTAATAGATACAATGTAACGACTTGTCTTAGTTCGTACACTTAGTAAAATCTTAAACTAGTAGTGAAAATTACTATTTTTACTTGATGTCATACATTCACAATTAGTTGGATATATATTATATAACATGCATAAAAGTATGTAATACAAGTGTACAAATATAAACAAGATAGATAAACATTAATTCATTGATGTTAAATGTACAACCTAGGTGTCGGTAAAACACGATTATACAACTACTTAAGGGTAGCATCAAAAGACAACAAAAAGCCACCATTCGTTTCAATGGTCTCCACCCATACACCTCAACAAAACCTATCCCTACTTTGCTTTCATACAAATATGATCATCACAATTTCAAACTACATGAAAAACACACAAGAGTAAACTTATGAAATAAAAATAACATAACTATAACATCAAGTTTCAACTTAAGCAACAAGAATAAGATACATCACATCCAATTGTCAACAATACTACTCTTATCACTTGCAACATAAAACAACTCAACAACATCCAATCAAATACAAAAACACCATACAACATTTGTACACATCTCACAACTTAAAGCAATGTGTCAACATCACCTTTCATTATAATCAACACACAACATATAATTGTATCTATAATGTGTTGTCATGCATATTAAATTGTGGGGATCTCCTAAAATAGAGGTAAACAATTTAAGTGGTTAGATCCTATCGAACCACAATGTTTGTCCTATCTCAATCAGGTCAGGTGTAGACGGCATTAGGCCTCATAAAGTGTCAGGTGTAGACAACTTAATTTAATTTCTCAGGTTTTGCCAGATAAATTAGGAAGTCCAGTACTATCGTTAAGGTAAAATAGTTGGGTATGAGCTTACCACGATATTAGTCTGCAACACTGAGTCACCTATGGAATTAGTCCACTAATTACCCTTCAAGTACTATGCCCCTTCGATATTTTACTCAATTTGTCACTTTATACATGTGTGTCTTGATCTTGCCCACACATGGATCCCACATAAAACCTAGAGGGGACAACTAAAAAATAACTCACCCATTTAAAGACCAACTTACCTATTAAAGGGTTTCATCTAGGCTCTTGGAGCACCATAATGTATATCAACATAATGAGATATTCTAATTTCAAAAACAACTTACTCCTCTCTAGCTTTTATGTATTGTAGCTAAGACATGTATCTAACTCATATGTTTATAACTTATCAACTTTAGCAACTTTAACTACTTAGACAACTTACAACTTTATAACATGAATAAATTTTATTAACATCATCAAGATTCAACTTAACACTTTACAATTTTCACAACTTTATCAACACATACACACACATATCATCATCATCATCATCATCATCATACATACATACATACATACATACATACATACATATAACTTAATAATCATCATTTAACTACAAAACATCATAACTTCCATTTTACAACTCGTCCTCAACGCCACTCAAGGACTGCCCATTGCCACTAAGGCAAGGGACTCCTTGTCTCTTCCACACTTGACATGAGTTAGGTAGAGACCCCTGGGACCTCACGCTCGATGTGGCCATAGTCTATTTTTGGCCTCACGCCAACCAGAGACGTTGCCAATCCCGTGTCTAACGTGAAGAAAAGAGAACCCCCTAGTTAAAGTTGCGTTTGGTGTCACTAAAGGCATGTTCAATGTGGCATCAATTCTGTGCATACGCAAATCCCAATTTTGGGTTAATTCCCTTGAAAATTATAACTCTGAACATGCATTGCACAAAAATAGCATTTAGACATCTTAAAGAACTAGAAAACAACTTCATTTACCACATGCATACATATTAAAGTAAGAATCATAAAAAAAAAAGAACAGAAACCCTCAACACTACCCTACTTTCTTCTTCTACTTAATCATCACAACTGATAATTGGAAATCAACAATAATCACCAACATGCAATCCACATAAACCCCACAATGCACAACCCAATTCGAACCATAACTTCCCTCACCTCTTGTTGAGCCAATTCCGCAAGAGAGGAAAAGGAAGAAAATAACTTCGTACGATCTCGAAACCAAAAACCCCAACTTCATTGGCCCTGAATCTTCACTTTAGCGCTCCAATTAGCTGCAAGAGAGGAATGAGAAGGTTTCTAAGCCAGAGAGGAGAAGGAGAAAGTTCGCTCAATTCAAAGAACTTTTCACTAGTTTATTTCTCTAAAAACTTTAAAACTCAAGTTATGAGACTCAAAACTTAAGAAAATCTTTTATACTTTTTTAAATTGACTTCACTTATCTCTGATTCAACTATCTAGATATCAACTTACTCTAAAGGTCCTTTGACCAAAAAACTCTCAATAGTGTTTGACAAATTAAACAACAAGAATTTCTATAAGTAATAAAATATGCATAAAATTAATGGTGTTACACACAAAATTTGAAAAAAAAATCTATATATTATTATAAAAGCTTAATTATACATTTATTAATGTTGGAGTCAATGCAACGAGAGAAAGACATATTTAAAATATGAAAATAATTATATTTATTTTTTTATATTATATTTATAATATATAAAATAAATGATGCACTTATTTTAAAAAAACAATTTTATAAATATCCAACATAATCATTATATTTTCAAATAATAATATAAATTAATATATTATATTAATTATTAAAGTTATATATTAATATTTTTCTATTATTATAAAATAATATATAACAATAATTCAAATAAATAAATAAAATATGTTTTATAACATAAAATTAATAAAATTTTTTTACCATATTTATTATTTTATAAAACATATGTTAAATTAAATACCAGTACGATGAACGGGTACGCATACTAATGTAGATTAATAAGATATATTGTTAAAATATTAAATTTTTGCTTTAACGCTACAAATGACTTCGATGGAAATAATTTATTCTAGTTAACTTATAGGATCAATATATTAATAAGTTCTTCAATTTTTTAAAAAAATTTAATTTAATCTTTAAATTTAAAAAATAAAATTGCAATTAAGTTCTTAATATTTTCTAATTTTTGTAATTAGAGTCTTGTAATTAGTAAAACTGCTACAAATTTTATTTTGTGTCAGTTTCAAATTATCATAAATTAATTCTAGGGTCCTAATTACAAAAATTTTACCAGATAAAAGACTTAATAATAATTTTTATTAAGTTTAAGAACTAAGCTAATAATTCCTAAAAGTTCAACAATGAACTTATAACTTGTATAATGAATAACAAGACTTGCTATTTTATTATTTTTAATATGAATTAAATCAAGTCACTTTATTAACTTGTGTTGATCAGAATATAGGAAAGATATTTGAATTTAAACATAATAAGTATTTGCAAAAATACTGAAGAGATGATTTTACTTCCAAAATAGATATGGATTCGAGTATGACTACTTATTAAAAAATAGTTTATTGGAAAAAATTTAAGTCTCATATTGATTAGAGATTAGGAAATTGAATAGTATATAAGTGGAAAACAACCATCACTTTATAAGTCGATTTTGTAGGGTTGAGTTAGACTTAAATTTACCATTCTAAGATGGTATCAGAGCCATTTAGATTCACTTTAAATAGGTCACCCACCATTGATGCATGCACCATAAGCATGATGGGGTGTATTGGGCAAAATCCAAGTCCCGCAAATCCTTATCCACGTACCAAGCCCAATAGTGCTGGACGTGAGGGGGTGTATTGGAAAAAATCTAAGTCTCACATCGACTAGAGATTAGACAATTGAATAGTATATAAGTGAAAAACAACACTCACCTTATAAGTCAATTTTGTAGAGTTGAGTTAGGCTTAATTCACTATTCTAAGATAGTTACAATGATAAATGTATGCACAAATGTTCTAGAACATTCCTTCACCAATTCTCATTTTTATTTTTTATACGTTTTAAATAAGTCTCATTAACTTAACTATATAAATTTAACTCTTTTATATAAAAAAGATTAACATGATATACTTACTTTCTATTTATATATGCATTATACGTGTAGGATCTCATAAATAACCACATATATTATGAGACATTTA